ACTGGACTTTATTAGTTTATGCAATGGTCAAGTGTAAAAATACCTTGGATGTATTTGTATTTCAGGGTCCTAAGGTCAATGCCAATGTCACTGTTGCTATTAATAGGTAAACCACATGGCCAAGGGGAAAATCATGTCTTACAGACATTTTCTTATATAAGAGGAGGTGAAGCAGAACTAAACTGTCTGTTGAATTTTTTGACTCCTGTTACACATAGTTAATTTACATTGTACATAGTTGATCAGGATATATATTCACTGCCTTGTCAGTTTGTTTGGTGTGTGTGGGTCTGTGTGCCCATCTGTAGTAAAAAGTTAGAGAAGAATGTGTTTTATAAACTCCTTTACAGATTTAATTTATACATTACACCATAACAAGTACGGTAAGATTGAGTTTTACACCTGATTAGATTTTGGAGGTCATCGGCCAATGTTATTGGGTCAAAGGTCACGCTTGACCACTTTGGAAGTAAAAGCTTGTGTACAGGTTATCTCAGAATCCCTCAACAGATTTAGTTTATATATTACACCATACATTAATATAGTATGTGAGATCGTGTTTTACACCTGATTAGATTTTTGGTGGTCATCTGCCAAGGTTATTGGATCAAAGGCCACACTTGACCACTCTCAAAATCCACCATGGTATAAAACAAATCAAGTTTTACACTGGTTTGAAATTTAGTGGTCATCAGTGAGTGTTAAAGGGTCAAAGGTCACACATGACCCCTTTTGAAGTAATTCTGACCTTTTCTTACGAAGTTATGGCCCTTTGTTGAAAAAATCCTCAAACTTTTTGTCCTGGACAACTCCTTCTACAGTTCTAGATCAATTTCAACGAAACTTTCCACATATGATAACTACCACCTGAAGTTGTGCATCCAGATATTGGTTTTTCATTTTGACCCTTTTTACAGAGTTATTGCCCTTTGTTGAAAAATACTTGTCCTGACAACTCCTTCAAGACTATATGCGGCCAATTTCAACGAAAGTTTTCATATATGATAACTACCCCCTTATGTTGTGCATCCAGGTATTTGTTTCCCTACCCTTTTTTATGATGTAATGGCCCTTTATTGAAAAATTCTTGTCCTGACAACTTTTCCTCTTATCTACTGGGCAAATTTCAATTTTTTATGCCCCCGCCATAAAGTGGGAGGGGGGCATATAGTGTTGCCTATGTCCATCCCATCCTGTCGCATCGCATCCCTTTCCGTCCTGACCCGTCCTGTCCTGTCCCGTCCCATCCCATCCATGAGCGGGGCATTTATGTCTTACAGACATTTTATAGTTTTTACAAATGTGGTAACTGCCCCCTGACGTTGTGCATCCAAGTAGTACTTTTTCATTCCAACCCTTTTAAAAGGAGTTATGGCCCTTTGTTAAAAATCTTTGTCTGACATCTTTTCCTTAACTAATAGGACAATTTTAGCAAAACTGGTTCATCTTGGCTAACAAGATTTGTTATGTACCGGTAAGTATGGATTGGCATGGGGAGGGAGTACAGGAAGTATGTCAGTGGCCAGTATACTTAAATAAGTGTACAGCTCAGTCAGTAAAGAAATCATTACTGGTGGGAGACTATGTATTGCTTTGCAATAGTAAACCTAGTTAGTTTTATTACTAGTGCAAAGATAAATGATGTCTTGAAACATTTTTTCATTTTACCAAAATTTTAAAAGATGTTAAAACTAAAACTGTTAACATATTGGTCCAAACTATGATAAAAAAAAGTATCTGCTAGTTTTAATCTTCTCATAATACTGTATGATTTTTGTTTCGTTCCCCAAAAAACTTCTTTTAATAAATTTCTCGTACATAACAACTAAAGAGTTTTTTGTACATTAGTAATTGAATACATGAATCCTTGCACTCAAAATCTAGGTACAGGGAATGAAAAAGGAGTTCAAAGATCTCAAATTTCTTAAATTTCTGTCTGATTTTTTAATGTCAAGAGATAAAAATAACTTTTCTGAAGTTTGAAACGGGTTTTAATCATGTGACGTAGTAAAGCAACTAAATATTGCAAAAAGTGTCTATTCTTATCAGGTGGAGGAGGAAATTGAATGAGATTTAGCAAGAATTCTCTTTTTACAATATTTGATTTATGTTGTCCTTTAGTCCAAAAGAAATTGAACTTTCTCAATTTAGTACAAACACATACATTATCTCAACTATCATAACATCAATCAAAGTATTGTATTCATGCAACATAGTTTGTATTGTGTCATGTCAATGGTTTATGAGAGACTGGGTTCCGTCAGTGAGTTTATCTTTACAGAAATGTTCTATTTGACCACATTATACACACACAAAGCCTGAACTATGATCATATCAAATTGCATAGGATGATACCGTTGCTTGCTTCTTTGGGTTGATTACAATTTCAATATTGTGTTTTTATTACTATTTTGTCTTTCTGTAGATCAAGATGGCAGCAAATAGGGGAATGTAAGAGTTTTATTAGTCTGTCATCATCAGATCACCAATCTTGCGTGGGTTGTTGTCTGTCTATTGTTCATCCGTCCTTAAAAAATTCTTGTTAACATTCTTTCTCAAATATCATATTAAGATTCCTCTTGGTTCATAGTTGTGCATGTTTCATTTTGAGATTGATCAGGAAAACAAGATGGCTGCTGCCAGGGCAGCCATGTTTGATTTTGAGAGTTCAAGTTTGTTATCGCAATTTCTCGAAAAGTACTGAACAAATCTTTCACAAATTTCATATGAAGGATCCCCTTGGTCATTTTGAGACTGATCAGGACAATTTCTGGCGACCATCCTGGATTTTAAGAGTTCAAGTTGGTTATCACGGTTTCTCAGGAAGTAAACAATGACCTAACATTGAAAGGACACTCACAAATCAAGCTGTATGAAATTTTAATCAAAAGTTTCCACAAGATGCATTTACTGTTGACAAAACCATCCAACAGAAGAAGAGAAATGAAGGGAAAGATCAAACTTAGATAGAATTTATGAGGATCTTACAATGGTGGATGACGAGATTGTAAATTAATGTAACAGTTGCTGTCCTTGAAATGGTTTGGCCTTGGTTGGCACCTTCCATCTTCTCTGTCTACCTAGAAATGCACTGTAAATGAATCTCAATTGAAAAAAAATTAACACCAGTTTCTGTAACTAAAAGGAGAAAACTTTACTTAACCCTTTCACCACTGAAGACCACAATGGGCTCATCCAGATCAATTCATGGTAGAGTCTACTAAAGTTACATAGGGGTGAATGGGTTAAACTCTGTAAGGTGCTGTCAATTTTATCAAATAATACTGTATGTAAAGCTTGATTTGTCTCTTCGGATCTTCTGCATTTTTTAATCAGCTGAAAATGACTTTGCATGGTAAAAAATTACATTTTTCTCTTCAATTTAGTACAACCAAATTTTGTTAAATTTCAGGTTTCTGTGATTCATGGTTAGGTTTTTGTGGGTTTGTAACTATTCTCTCATTAAATTGATGTGGAAATGAGGAAAATACCTGTGAAGATTGTAAATAGACAAAATTGTGATTTAGATTTTTTTTTCGTTCGAAATAAATGCACTTTTCATCTTCTCTGTCTACCTTGAATGGAGGGCTGTAGACTCGCCGTCACGTAGGCCTCCCTAATTTAGGATATTCTGTGAGGAGTTAAGTGTTTCATAATTGCCGACTTATTGTCAAGTAGCTGACAAATCTGGTTCACGCCATAACAACAACAGAAGTTGTGGGTTTAGAGTCTGTATAAAATCTGTACCGAGACATAATTTCTGACTGCACTGCTAGTTCACTTCAATTGCCATCATGGTTCATGAAGCATTCCTTTTTGAGTCTGTCCTACTGTTCTTATCAATTTTGTTGCGACTGAAATTTCATCATAGGTAGTGTTGTACATTGTTTATCGTTGATTCATGATACTTCAATTCGCTTTACACCTCACTATAACAAATACTGTTTATAGGAAAACCTTGACAATCTGGACACTATGGACAGTAAACCTCACAGTCTGGAAAATCTTCACAGTAAAACCTCACTAGTCAGGGTCCCACATAAAAGATGCCGGTCGCCAATAGTGATCAGTGTCCATCTGTCTGTCTTGCCACATTTAAGTTGCCAGAGATTATCTTAGAATCAAAAAGACTTATCTATTTGAAATTTGACATGGTGATACACTGTGATATGTAGATGTGCAATAAGGGTTTCAAAATTTCTTAGGTCAAGGTCACTTACTAAAAATAGACTATGGGGAGTATGGATAGATACATGGCGGGGCCCTTGCTAACCTGGCAGTGGTCTAGTCTGGAAACAGTGTATTATTGGTGGTACATTGTAAGCAAGGCTGTCCTACTTAGGAATTCTTGTTGACATTGAAGACAAGTTGTATTTCACTGGAAGAGCTGACAATATTAAACTTCAAGACTTTGATTCCTCGCTGTAAATAAAAGGACTTCATATCAGATCACAAAACATGGTCTTGAGAGTAACGTAGAATTTGAGAAAAGTAAGTTGTCTTAAAAAATTGTTGTCATCATTTCATGTGAAGTCGTTTTAAAATGTTCCCGATTGATAGTGGGTCAGTTCCTCAATTTTCAAGCACACTTCTGTTGTTATTTAAATGATATGTAGTTGAAGTCAGCCTGGAGAGTGTGATTCTGTGGAAGGTGTCCTGAGTATCTTCAACTGATAATATTTGGGGACAGTTCCTGTTGAAGTTATATTTTAGCGGGAAAGTAGGGTTCCTGAGCGTACTATTTGAAATGGAAATTTTCCTAACAGCTTAACTTTCACACACCCTGCCCCGCCTCTGTAGTGAGGGCAAATTTATCATTACATTAAACATCAGTAAACATGATAACAAAATAATTGTTATCAAATATTAAGGACAAAATGTTACCACTGGTTGGAGATGAATTTTACTGGAATAGGACGAAAGTTTCACTGGGTAATTATTTCCCATATACAATACTGAAATAATTTCAATAAAACATTAACAACCAAATTTTAATTCATTCTTTTATTTAATTCAATTTTAACACTATCGTATTTTAATAATGAAATCATTCTGACACAGCACATAGTTATGTACAAATCAACACTCCTGTAATTTTTGTAATTTACATTTCAATAATAATTCATTTTAAAATACACAAATATTTGGCCCCTCTCTCTCTGTACGGGATAATAGTTGACTGTTTCAGCAATTCTTTTGATCAGAACTCAGGAATTCGAGTAAATATTCAAAACTATTAATTCTAAACAACCCATTTAACTATGTTTTGTTGTTTCCTGTAATTTTAAACAAATTTTCAAACAAATAATGATAATATAAATGTATTATGTTTTGCAATATAGTCTGTTAATCTGATAAATCATTTATTCCGGACTTTTTCCGAAAGTAAAGTGTCCAGATTAACTGCATTGCTGTGTACATATCACAATTTATTGTTGTTGTTTCGTCGTTGTTGTTGTTGTTGTTGTTTCCTAATTTGTCGTTGCTCCAGTCAACCATTAGACACGTAGTAAACCCATCTAAGAGATCAGACAACAGTAATAATAATATTGACTAGTATTGATTAAGTAAAATAAATCAATTTTTGTGTTCACAATCAATTTGTAGTACCATATTCAACCATATAAATGCCCCTGCTGCATTACAATGTCAATGAATGCAAGTTTTAGATAAAAAGACATTCATCCATTTCCCCAACCCCCTTGAATTCTCTACCCACCCCACCCTAAGTTTTATCCTCATAACTCTGAACCCCACCCTCCTCCCATCCCATGATTGTATTTACAAGGAACTAACACCCAATCAAGTTGAATATGGTAATTGAAATAGCTTTTTACAAAGTAAATTCATAGTTTTCCATTTAAGGTGTACGCTTTCTTCCTATACTGTGAAATGTATCATCTATTCGGAAGAGTTCTACATTAACTCATACACCCCTGAAATTTCATAATGAACTATTCCAACCCTTGAATTGGAAGGGTTCAAATGTGTGTTCAGGGTAGAATGAGAAACTCTTAACACAAATCACAGGTATCATATAGAAGGTAGCATATTTCCTTAAGAAAAAATATGACATTATTAAAATAATTTAAGAAAAAGATATTCTTCACATTAAATTCACTGGCACAACAGCACAATTGAAAACACAAGATACCATAAATATGACAAAGAAATAATAGCACTTCAGAACAACCATACAAAACCTAAAAAATACCCTCACAACCCTAAAATGCCAAAATAGATTCTTCCATTCTTTGGTTGGGATTGTGCTATATAAAGATTTTAGGGTGTAAAACTGAAAATGAATATGAAAATGTGAATCAGTTATGATAAAAATTCAGTTGTCATCATTTATGATCATAGTAAAAAAATATACAAGTGACTTGGTTGGCATTGATTGTAATTTCAAATAGAAATAGTTGTATTGTGTGATGATGCTTGTAGATATTCCTGTCAGAAGTAAAGAAAAAACATATAAAAAATTAATGAGCTGGGTCTTGAATAAAATTATTCAGATTCATAGAATGTTTATGGAAATACTTGTAATACTATATGAAATTAAGGGGAGACAATCTGATTTTTTATCAATTATAAATAGAATTTGGCACTTTTAGAAAACAGACTTACGTTAAAAAAAAGAATTGTGATTTTTTTGACAAAAATTATTTTTAACATTGATCCAAGGATTAATCAAGGCCTTTTTGTGACCCTTTTTTGGTACTTGTATCATACAAAACTACAAAGTTTCCAAAACCCACTAGGTTGGTGCAAATTTCTCCCATTCAAACCAGTATCATAATAAATATTTAAGAAGAAGTTATTCATTTTAGTTGTGTTTATCCATTGTAAAATCGATCAAAATTGAATGTTATTCTTATAATTACCAATGTTACATTAATACATGTATCAGTAAAAAGTTGCTGCTTCACATTTACCAGAATATACAATTACCGGAAAATTCCCCTATAACATTACACTTTTCAGAAGAAGGTGATTATAACCTTGATAATGCCTGATAATGAGGTACCTATAAAAGCTAGATATTTACCAAATCTGGTCAGGGGACTTTTGAAAAACATGTTAAATATGTGATTTACCTGTACTTATGATGTAAACTACACCTGTATAAATTAGAGATTTCAGTCAGATCCTGGTTCTCATAGATTGATCAGCTTCATCGATTTTTTTTTATATTTTCAGTTTGAAATGTTATGAAATGTTACAAAAATTGCTATTTTTTGTGATGCAGGTCTGATTGAGATGATAATTTGACCCAAGGACTGATATCATTGTTATGATTTTCTGTTATTTTTTTTATAGAAATTGAATACATATGATTTCTTTTTCTGTCAATGTGCTATTAAGCTGACAGTACTATGAATATCTTTGATCTGATTGATTGTTACACCTGGTTTGAGAGTACAAGAATACCTGACCCGACGTCAATCAAACAGCACTATAGCCTGTTATAGGGTACCCAGGGTATCGGGTCTCATCTCTTGTTTGAAATCTTTGATAATAGTACTAATAACGTAGACATATAGAGTTTCAAATAAGGTCAGTGAGTTAAATGGATTCGAGCCCAGTTTTCTGTGAGAATCACCTGATGTTGAAATGTAAAAAACATAATTCCATTTTTTTTAGATTTTTTTTTTTTGACCACGTTTGTATTAACTTAACGTTATGGTTAGAATGCCCATTGAGTCGTTGGCTTCATGAAACTTAATTTCATTCAGTGTTGGTTTTGCATGAATAGCCTCCCTTTGGTAAACAAATTTGGAAATATTTCCTGAATTTTGTATGTCATAATTTACCTATAATGAGTAGGTCACGAAAAAGTGCAAAACATTTTAGAACAGATTTATTTTTGTTTCTTAACCACATAGCTAATTTTTTTCTCCATTATTTCTACACCACATAACTTGCATAGTTTATTAGATGTGATCCATTGTTAAGTTCGTAACTGTGTCTTATTTACGGTGTGCATAAAGTCATAAATCTTTAAATGGGAAATTACGATCAATCATCAACAATGATTTTTATTCATGCATATATTGGTTGGCTTTTAAAGTATGAGACTTTAATTTGGGCCGTTGATTTACTTGTTCTCTTTCTTTCATTTCGCTACCTTGAATTGAGTTCTTTAACAGTTATGAAAGAAGTTTTCTTCCCTTCTTATCGATCATGTACTTGTGTACATATATCAACCTTGTGTAAAGGTTGTGTACTGGTTTAAAATGATAAAAAAAATGGTGTCTGTCAAGGTCTGAAGGAGAAAAAAGTCGCAGTAATCGGGAGAAATACGAATGATTTTTATGTGTTCACATGTACACACTTAACTTCGTGTCTAAATGGGACGTAATTCAGATAATTTATCACGCTGCAGTTACTTTGAATGATTTGAAACAGTTTAAATTGTGAGTTATTTCTTCTATTTCGACAAGAATTCAACAATTATACATTATATGCGGTTCATGACTATATACATGTATAAGTGTTTTCCAGTAGACATTATACCAATATCTTATAAATCAGAGCCTCTGTTTCACAAACAGACCCATTTTAATTTTTTTTACTTTGTGTAAAAGACGTAGAAATCTTCTGAACTTCTGTTTGAGCATCTTACGATCCTACCAGAAAAATAACAATATCATCAATAATTAGTTTACCCCGTCTTTTTGCTGATAGGATATGCTGTGGTTTAAGTCCAACCTCGTTTTTATGAGAAGCTCTCTTTCATATGTAAGAGTAATTGAGAAATAGTGTTTAAGAGAAAGAGAATCTCATACTGTTGTTCCTGTTACATAGGAATTGTTTAACATAGGAATTGTTTGAAACAAGTTTGAGGGAGTTTTATAAAATTTAAATTGAGTTTGAAATTGGATTTACCGGTGCCTTATTTGTGATATTAGATTATTTTCTATCGTAAAATTAAGTAGAAAAGAGGAAATAAAGAAAAACATTTTCTGTGGCATTAGGTGGAACCTGTTACAATGGTCGTCCCCATATACAATGTAATCGGTCATTTTCATGGTGGGTTTAAATTTACCACTGTTTACGGCTGATGGAAATTGGCGATTTAATATTCGTTTTAATTTGTATTTATTATTATGTATCATCTCTGCTTCGAGCATATCAATAACACGTCGACAATTCAGCCCATTATATACATAATGTGACATTGTGAAAATTATGTGTATGATATTCTGAAGGTAAATCTAGACCACATGACAAAATGAAATTTTGTGATATTTCTTGATGGTAGAATGATATTTGACAGCAAACACTGGGAAATGATATCTTCAATCCGTAACATTTTTTAATGAAATTTGATTGTTTGTTTTCTTTTAATGTACACAACAAAGGTTTCTTTAATCTAATCATAAACATATCTATAAATATATATGACAATTAAATGCAAATTAGGTTTTGAGCCATTCCTTATCCCAGTTCTTCATTCCCCAAATCCCTGACAGTGGATGCTTCCACCTTTGTAATGGAGCATTTCATTGAAGGGTTTGGGGGAGGAAAGGATTCAGCATTCAATAGGACAACAATGGAAGGCTGACTTTTGAAATGGAAATTTGCTGCATATTTCAATTTTATACAAATAACATTTGATATTACTAAGTCATATAATTCAATTCATGGTAATTGATGAAAAATTGATTCACTTAGTTGAATTATTCAATACAGACATGAAGGAGATCGATCTTTTGATTATTTAGTCAATGAAATAAACATTGTGATCTAACGAGAAATCTTATTGGTCAGTCTCTCCATCTTGACCTTCGACCTGAAGTTGCAGGTAAAAATGAAGCAATTGATTGGTTAAAGACTTAATAAAAATGATTCCATTCGATTCATCAGGTTTTGAATTCTTACAGTAGTGCTTTCATTGTCAAAAGAACGAAAAAATTCAGCTGCAGACATGAATATCAAATTGTATTTTCCAATATGCGAACTCAACAATAGATCGCAGTTTAAAAGTTACATAACACAGTTCTGTTTGAAAATCAGTCGTGGTCGACCCATTCACTTTGAATGCATTTGTACCCTGTAATCTGAAGAAACACAATGTTCTGAGTCACAAACAAGGACAGTCATGGCCGCCTTTAATACCAGACGGATTATATAAAAAAAAGTTTACGCAGATGATAATCACCTATGACTAGAATGACGGACATGTGACATCACACAGGTGCTAGTTTCCCAGAATTCCTTTGTGTCGTGAATGCCGTAAATGTTCATTGTCTGCCTGTTGGTTTTTTATAGAATCGTAGGCAACTGGATATCGCATTTTAAAAAGCCTGCTGAGGTGCGGAGCTCTTTGGTGTGGTGTATTTTGCTCTCTGTACCAGGAATTAGTGTCACTGCGTGGTGACGGACGAGAACAATCCGAATCTGAAACAGGGAAGACGAAATCAAATATATACAGATGTATAAATATACTAAAGATTTAAAACAGTTTTTAAATGCTTGGATCAAGTTAAAAAAAAAGGAGAAGATTTGTAATTCCTTCATTAATAGCCAAGTCCTCTTATTTCCTGTCGTTAATCTTTCTTTTTTATTGTTTACTCTTCCAATTTTATGCAAATTTTTCTTAGCTTTTTTCCTTTAACTTCTTCACCAAATTTGTTACTATAGTTCTTTCTCATTTGTTCTTTTGTTTTTCTGTCTTTCTTCTTTTTTCTTTCTTTCTCTTTTCCTTTCTTTCTTTCATTTGTTCTTTTCCTTCTCTCTCCCTTATCTCTCACTCCCCATTTTCACCTTCAAACTTGCATGTAAGTGACATTTAGTTTTCAGTGCCATATATTCACAAATTCAAATCTGCTCAGATCCTGGGCAACAAATTTTTTTCGAGAGAGGAATGTGGGAGGCGTGAGAGAATGGAGTAATGGTGTAACAAAATCATTTGACACGGAGAAAAACAGGTCTGAACATTGATAAGTAGAGTCATTCATTGTTTCTCACTGAGCCTTCATCATGGGAAAAATATTTCATGCCATACGTTTGATATCAACAGCGGAATTCATTATTGCACCAGATGAGATAGTTTGCAGTTTTGCCACAGTTTTGTTAGCAGGGGAGCTCTTAAGATCTTTTAAGGATTATAAAAACATGGTCATATTTATTAATATGAAATCATTCACAAAAGAATGACACTGCGAAGCCGCTATTGACGTTATCAACAGAGATTGCAGGAATGCCAGGGCACTGGGTTGTTGGCGGGATGGGATCGTGGACGGGTGTGTCATGAAATAAAATATATCTACCGCAATTCTTATCTCTTCCTTGACCACGAGCATCACTCGTATGGAATGATCACGGTACATTGCCATTATGAATTAAGTAGGAGTGTTCAATGGTGGAAAGACTTTTTCATTTAAAAGTTGGAAAATATTGAATGCAAGTAAAATTTGATCCTTAAATTTTAATAGATCTGACTATGAATTAAATTGATAAATGAAATATGTCTCAAATTTGTTGTCTGTGGAAAATGTTTTTGATTCTTTTTTTAAATTTGGTAAAAATTTAAATAGTTTAGTGTTGGTTTCCATGAGTCAGTAAGTCTGGGGTTGGGTGTTTAACAGTTAAACAACCCTTCCCACTTCTGGTCCAATAGATAACGAGGTCTTGGGCAAACAAAAACTGGTATAAACAAACACCACCCCTGGTGGTCAAATCATGATACCATCTGACTAGAGATACCACATAGCTTGGGAACAAGGGCGTATGGATTTTAAGGATAGTTTCAAAATTTGACATAATTAATACCTAATTTAGACCATGTTTTTTTTAGATTGGTAAGTTTATGAAACACTGAATATATTTTGTACAGCAAAGAAATGTGAAATGTAATTCAGGTGCCAAATCTAAGGATGTATGCTCTCTTACTTTGACATATTTCTCACCTCTGTTCAAAAGAGTTCCCAACCCAGAAACAAGGGAGACAATTCTAAATTGTTTCATATGAATAACGTGTAAGGTAGCATTTATCCTTAACTCTAACACAAACTACAGGTAAAATGTGTGCAAAAAAACTTAAACTCTTACTCAAATCAATGGTATGGGTTTTTTAAGGTAGAATATTATATCCTTAACTCTTACATAGATCACAGGTGTAAAGTGTAAGGTACCATATATCCTTAACTCTAACACAATTCATAGGTTTAGTGTGAGAGGTAGCATATAGCCTTTCCACTATTCATAGGGATGTATAATGTGGTATATACCCTTAACTGTTGACACAAATCACAGGTATAATGTGTGAGGTAGCATATAGCCTTTCCACTATTCATAGGGATGTATAATGTGGTATATACTCTTAACTCTTGACACAAGTCACAGATATAATGTGTAAGGTAGCATATAACCTCAAGCCAATAATCTCAATTTTTTCATGAACAAACAAATCTTAGTCCTTACATATTTAGCTCAGGTTTGAATTTCTCTTGTTATTAGAAATATATTTGACAGAATTTTTGCGTTAACTGATTAGTCGTTAAAATCATTTGTTAAAACAACTGGATTCAAAACTTCAAAAAAGATTCAACTGAACAGTTGTGACAAAATCGAAACTGTGTCATATGAAAACCCGACTATTCCCGTGTTCAGTTTAGACAGGTTTCACTGTATTCATATTTTGTTTCTGCTATAGTATCCTCAATAAAGTCCTGTTTCAAAACGGAAACAAAATCTAGTTTTGCGATTAGTGTTGTGGAAAATTGTTTGAAGAGCCACTACATTATAAGTCCCACAAGGTGTCGCAATGATCGGGACACAGAATTTATGACAGAATGGGACAGAAATTACTTCACTAAAACGGATGTTTTACCGAGTTTCAATTGCCACATTATTGATATCTGAGGACTGGTGTTAACTAGGTCACAAGCTGTTACCTGTGGTAAATCCCTCTCGGAGGATCGTATCGACATTGTCTGACCCTATGTGGTCGATGTTTTTATTGAATAAAATATTGAATTTCATTATAAACATCTCAGTGAAGGTTATGCAAGTGTGTTTAAATGGCTATTCTCACGTTGACCAAACAGTTTATCGTACTTGAAGGCAATCTCGTATTTCAAAACAGAGAAACGCAACAGAAATTTGTTTTTTTCTCGTTTGTTTATGTCATTACACATCTGTTGCATTAATAAGAGAACGGAAGTTTTGTAATCACATCAGAATGAATATACCTGGAATTCAAACATTTGTGGTCAGAACTCAAATTGGCAATTAAAACTGAAAACTGCACTTTCTTGTAAAATGTATCAATCTTCATTACCTCAAATTATGAATTAACTCATTAACCCCTGAGGATACATTTGAACTCTTCCAATTCAAAGGTTGGAATAGTTCATTATGAAATTTCAGGTGTGAATGAGTTAAGGAGATTTAGTTTTAATGATCTGTGTATCATTGCCAGAAACTTTCGCTATGCATTGGAAACCTTTTTTCCGGTGTGATTATAGCTTTGATAAATCATTTCTGAGGGGAAAACTTTATCTTGCGGAAAAAATTGTAATGAACAAAATTTAATCAACAACAGTATCCTGAATTTAAAAATTCAGCATGGCCAGACCAGGACTTGAACCCTGGACCACAGATTTTTATACTGCTGCTTTAACCAATGAAGCTACCTGGTCAACAAAAGTACCTTAACTCAAATGTGTGACCAAAACACCAAAAACAACATTAAGGGAATTTTACTATATGTACTAAAAAGAAGCTCTCGTGTTTTGCCCGTAGTGGGACTGGGATCCTTAATTGGGTTCGAAAAATATAGATTTGAAAATTTTATTTATTATGTCATTCAGAGAGTGAAGATGGTCATGACAACCTAAGATATCATATTTCATTATAGGAATCAGAGGTTAGTCCAAACTGGTAATATAATGCACTGTTTACGACACTGACTTTTAATTTGATTAGTACACTTTCCTTATGTAACTCTATTTGACTGTATCATCAACATGTTTGTCAAACAGCTTAACCATTAGTTGTACCAATATTGGACCTGGTCATTACAAGCTTCTTATTGACCTTGACCATTTTCTATGCTTGCAGGCTTTTTCAATGAATATTTGTATTTACAGAATCTTTTAAGTATCGGTGTTGACTATCGGAACTCTTTTATCTTCGGCTCTGCCCATCTGCTCTAAACGTATGTTCGTTTACAGCTTGGAAGGTATTTTCATTGAAGTTGTTGTTCAGTTATTATAAGGACATATGGTAGGGTAGAATGTGGGTATACAACAAAAGATGGGTGGATTGTCAGAGCAGACGGTCAAATGGGCGGTTCATTTAAGGGATTTCCAAACAAAATTCTAAGAAACTTTACCCACAATTTGACATCTTAATCAATTTCATTTCTAAGTCAGGCCAATGTAACATAGAAAAATTAGATTTTGGGACACATTCATTTGGAAAGTGAGTGATTTTTAAATAAGTTAACAATTTCACTAGGTTTGCAGCATTTTACTTTAGCATCCCATTAACAGCTAAGGAATGAGAAACTTATATATGGGATATTATTGATAGTTTTCGGGTCACAAATTACTTCAGTTTCTTAAAAAGCATAATACGTCAAATATAGGTACCTGGTGTTTCCCAGAATTCCACTGTGATTAAGGTGTGGTCTGCTATGAAATCTTTACTTTGGTGAAAATGATCACAATCCCACAATGCAACATGTCCTAGTGGTAAATTTGCATGTTTCTTCTTGTATGTTATCACACGAAGAATTCCCTGTTTTCCGTGAAAAGTTTTCCTTGTTGAAATTGGATCAAGTTGATGTAATTTCGACACATTTGGATAGCCATATTTATCCGCTAGGTACGGTCCGTAGGCTATGGGATGGTATATATACTGTAATCCATCGTTACCTAACACACTGTCCGTGCCATATTTCGATAGATGAATGTAAGCTGGCCCGAGAGAATGCTCTCCACCGACACGATTAAACGCATACGACAATCGCAATGCACTCGTATCATGATGAAGGGAGGTAATTGATGTGTCGTGTCGGGATAACTCTTGATAACATCCAATTATTTCTATGAGACGATGATTGTGATAATGGCCGCCGTGACTGAAATATCCAGGATAGCTTTCCTTCAAGGCTTGGAAAGGAGGCAAGGTCAACTGCAACGTTAAGCAAAATAAAACTTTAATTAACACACAAGCATATTGCAAAAAAAAAAAAAAGTAATATCTTAGTTACTTTGGGGATCTACTTTAAATACTGTAGAACTACTTTAAATACTGTAAATGTACTAATTTTAGTGCACTCCAATTTTAGCACATATCAAATTTTTAATAGATTAGGGCGTAAATGAATTGCATGGCACATCAAGAGAATATACAATAGAATACAATAAACAAGAACTTCAATTGGTGCAGTCATAATTAAGTGCAATATTTGAAGCGCGAAAGGCGCTAAAATAAGACTACCAATAAAATATGTACGTTTACAGTGAATTTTTGTTACAATTTCTGTCTATTTCAGTGGAAATTGGTATTGATATCAACATTTCCAACTAAATGAATAGATAATGCCAATTTTTAGATTAATTCAGGAAGAATTCTTTTTTTATTCACAGTAGACGGTTCACAAAATCTTCAGATGCACAAAAATGTGTGTGGCCCATAGCAGGTCTGCCCCTATCCATGTGCTTATTTTATGATGAGTTTCGGGTCACGATCGGAGTCCTAGGATCTTTTATCATTGTCACGATTAGATGATATAAATATATCATTGGAAAATTATACCGGTAGGATCAGGGGCTGTGAAAATATTGAAACATATGTTCTTGTGTTGTGAAAAGATTGTAGCGAGAAATCGCCATCAGTATTCAAGCTGTATGGCTTATCTCACAGGTGTCCATTTCATATTGTACCTGTCTCGGATCTGACATTAAAATTCACTGCAGTTTTATTCAGCCTCGTAAAATGACACTATCAAAAGTACATCAGGATGGATTTTAATAGAGACGATCCTCTATCCAGAATCTGGTCACTTTTATAGGGGTAATAGGGGTACTGATATATCGTTTGGGCCGTAATTATCTCCTTCCCATTGTCAGAACCTCAGACTTCAATTTGCGATTAAATCGCCGAGGATTATGATATGTCGGTAAATTCACAATAGTTTAGAGAGATTTCTGAGGCAGGTGCTATAATCAGGGCTTAGGATCGGCCAATATTTTAGTATTATACTTTCATCCTGTTGTTTGCTGTGGTATCCCTCTCTCTAGATTAGGGACGAAATCCCGATGAAACCTGACACGAAAATCATTTACTGTGATCAGCATATCAAAATGGCGGTGTAGTTACTGCTTCAGTTCTGAGCAGAATTTGATTTAATGGATTTTTTTCAGGAATTTTGTTTGAATATAGCTGTATGTTATAAAATTTCTATGTGGATTTTTATGAATAAATAATTTCTGCACTATTTCTTGTTAGCATTTTATCAGGGGTCTTCAAATAGATTTGATTTCTAAAGGATGAGATACCTAGTCTGTTCAGCTGGTAAACACTTTGTGGGGTTTTACCTGGCGGGCTGACAACAGGTAGACAGATAACTCGTTAAGGGGCCCTTAACAGCAAAATGTATCAGATTAAAATTTACATTCAGTCATTGAACTTGATTAATTTTAGGTGTATACTTATCAAACTTAATACCTTTTATATAAATTTATATAAATTTATTTTTTCATTTCAAATAAAACTTCAAGAATTAGTTTAACTTGATTGATTTAATCATTATAGAACCACTTAGATGATTTTATTTTCTTAGCGCTTTTTGATAAAAAATGTGTTTGAAACATACTGTATTTCTAAATCCCAGTTAGAGATGAAAAGGGACTAGGACATCATTGGAAACAGCCTTGGGGTAAAAGTTTATATAAAATCCTGATTTTTCCCCAAGATAAAGAAGTAATACCTAAAACCCACCAGAAGATAAAAGAAATAAATCGGTTTTGGTGATTTAACCTTTCGACTAAAGTTTTATATAAAATGATAAATTATTTTGATAACTTCCGTGTTTTTGAAGTATTTGATACCTGTTTTGAATATTGCTTTATCATAATTGCTACAGTGGTTTTGTATGGGGTATCAAAATGTTTAGTCAAATGTTGAGCAATTATTTTTCGATTTGGGGAATACATTTTGATAATTTGTGAACATTAAAACAGATATGATACAGGTCTTAAAGTTTTGTTTGAACCTCAGGAGTTCCAATCTGAGTACACATAATTTTGACTCTGAATATGACTTTATAGCAAATACAAGTATTTTCAACTACAGATATTGGTCATTATTGATGGTCCAGGTAGATTTGACAAGTGGACAATAGATTTCATCCTGATATGTATAGTCTTGACCACTGGTCAAACAGATGTGGCAGTTACACAACATACCCTGTGTAATACATTGCTTGATGGATCAAATCTGACCACTCATTTAAATCAGTCGGTCAAGCTGAAATTTGACCAGTGAAGTAACACTGATATATCATGTATCGGTGACACTCTGGACAATGGACAGTCGATAGAGATGACTCCTAGCTTCAATTATAAGCTCGATTTCCGTCCCTTGAAGTAAATGTTTCTACTGTAGAACTTGGATACTGTTTAACAAACTCACTTAAGCTGTTATCATATAATATTACGGTAGCACTGCAGATTGGAGAGCGCTTAATTACGATAACCTAATTATGAAATCGCTGTGCGCTTTGTTATAAATAGCTTAGCGCTAAATCATGGTGCCTGTAAAATAAAAGTTATTTGAGATGTGCAGGATGTGTAACGTACATAGTGTCAAGGTCTCCTCACAAGCTCCGGCTAGAGGGAAGTCCCTTTAGCTCAGCGTTAAAGCGCCCGACATGTAGGTCTGGGATCGCTGATTTGATCCCAAGCGTACACATGTGTTCTTTTGGCTATTTCCTTCCTATAGCAAACTAGTGTGGTTGCATGACCTTGCCCGTTCAAGGTAGCGGAGAACCCTTAACGAGGAGCAAAAAGAACCTTGGTTGTGGTTGTCTTTGAGGGTGGGAACTTTGGTGCGGTGTACATTATTAGTGTCAAAGTCGCTTTACTAGCTTCGGCTAGAAGAAAGTTCACTTTAAATCGGCGGTTGGGCATCAATCTGACTAGAAAGTCTGGGATCTAGTGTTTGATCTCTAGCAAATGCATGTATTACTTTCACAACTTCCTTCCTATTACATTAGTATCAGCATTTTAACAGAATTTGATTTAGTTCGATGTGCTACCCGGTACTTCTTATTTCACATGTAAGCTTGACATGTAAGTCTTATGTCCAAAGTTGACACTATATATTGCATTTTTTTTTTTCCATATCTGATTCTTCAGTATATAATCCATTCAGAAAAAAGAAGATGAACTTTATTCTAGTTGATCTTGGCTGTAAGGTGGGGACGGGATTTAACAAATCTTTGTAAAATGTATACTGTATTGGTTTATCTTGGCTGTGAGGTAGGGACAACAATTAGCAGACGAACTTGACACTCATGCATGTACATCATGTCACGTTAAAATTACTGTCATTGTAAATCTTCTACACCATACATTGTGCATTTTAATTGGGAATGGGTGCAGTGTGTCTGTGTGTGTACGTATGCTCATGTGCGTGCTTGGCTGGTCGGGATAACAAGAATTCACACAAAACCAGTCTCTGTCACATTGCAGAGCGATATACTCACTATAACGCGATTTCATTTGCATATTTAGGCGTCTTCCTCCCATTCATTCACACTTGTACAACCTTTTGATACCTGTAACAGCGTTACCTGGGAGATCGAAATTTTCTAGCATTATATCTGCCCCTCTCACACAAGTTGTTTATCAGAGCGGCACAGCCATCTAAATACCTGTCATTTATAAACGGTACAGTATGGTGTGGCAGGAAGTGTTTTTTTGTCCACATGCTTTCGTTAACTTCAGCTAAATTGGGATTGGTGTTTTTGTTGCTGTGATACACTGCGTAAGAATATGTATGGGGACATGCATACTTCCTGGTAAAGAAATTGTTAAATATTTTAGTTTTAAATGTTGTTTCGCAGTCTACGGGTTCAAAATATTACAAATAGTTTATAAGGTATTTTCACCATGGAAAACAAAGAAAAATGCTCATTACTTTTGCCTTTTGTGATGAAGGCAAATTTTTCATGACTTGGAATATAAGAAAACAACATAATATACATAGTAATTAAATCTGCAGGGCGAAATTAATACTGGGCGAAAATGGATTTCATGGGCGAAGGGCGAGTTTTTGGCTGGGTGAAAATGTCCCGGTTTACAGTATAAAATCTAAGGAACAGAATTTGGTGGATAAATGTAACTATTAAAAATAAAATACAAGGAACGGGATTAACCTTGATGTAACCAGACCTGAGAACTGAGAACAGGATTAACCTTGATGTAACCAGACCCTTGATGTAACCAGACCTGAGAACTGATAACCGGATTAACCTTGATGTAACCAGACCTGAGAACTGAGAACAGGATTAACCTTGATGTAACCAGACCCTTGATGTAACCAGACCTGAGAACTGAGAACAGGATTAACCTTGATGTAACCAGACCCTTGATGTAACCAGACCGGAGAACTGAGAACAGGATTAACCTTGATGTAACCAGACCTGAGAACTGAGAACAGTATTAACCCCACTTTGACTTTATGGATTAAGTCCAAATTTGTATTATGATACACCAGCTTATCCTAATCTGGATTATCAATAATCTTTGTGTTTACGATTAACTCCTAAAGTCATTGGTGTTCCGTTATAATCTATGAGTCAAAGTTTTGTCGCAAAAACACCGCTGCAGTATATGAAATGTTGGTCTACTATTGTAGAATTAGATGTAGGCTGAACCATGAACCAGTAGAACCTGAGTTAACTGACCCCTGGTTATAATGACATTAAACATGAGATTAATCGAACGTTGATTCTGACCCTCTGGATGTCTGTCAATATATATATATATGAACAAATATGTTGTAACTTTTTTTTTAAATCTCAAAATGGTTTTTCTGTGTGCTTGTAGTAGCTAGTATAATTTGTCAGTTCCTGTAGCAAGCACAAGGGGTCACTGACTGGCTCAACGAACATATGGGATAGG